GTGTGTGTGTGTGTATTTGTGTGTGTGTGTGTGCGTGTGTGTGTGTGTGTGTGTGCGTGTGTGTGTGTGTGTGTGTGTGTGCTGTGTGCACATGGTTGTTTGTGTGCATGGCAGTGTTGTCTTGTTGTGAGCTGGATTCGGCAGTGACCAACCCGCTCGTGCACACTCATACACACTCATACACGCTCATACACGCTCATACACACACACGCACACAATTAGTGCTTCGCTGCAGGCGTGGAGCTGAAAGGGCACAAGAAAACCCACGACTACTTTGTGGTGGTAAGCCCCTCTGTTGCTGACATGTGTGTGTATGTGTGTGTGTGTGTGTGTGCATTAGAACGTCGTCGTCGCCGCGGCAGCAGTTTGCGCGTGTGGCACACCCATGCCTCTCACCGACTTGTGGACGCGGCATTGCTTGCTTGTGTGCAGGACCGCGTTCAGTGTGCACTGTATCGAGAGGACTGGAAGACAGATGAAGAATTGCGGCTGCTGCAGGCTGTGGAGGCGTGCGGCCTCGGGAACTGGGAAGCAGTCGCACAACGCATGCCAAAACGATCATCAGACGGTATGTTTTGTCGCCATCCACGCTGTGCTGATCTTCCTCTGTGTGGCACCTGTGGGTGCATGTGGGTGCATGTGTGTGCATATGTGTGCATGTGCGTGCATATGTGTATGTGCATATACCTGTGTATGTGCGTGCTGTGTGTGTGTGTGTATGTGCGTGCTGTGTGTGTGTGTGTGTGTGTGTGTGTGCATGCCTGACCTCTAGGTTGTGATTTCATGCTCCTTTGGCGTGCATACGTTCAGAATGTCGACGGCACTACGCGGAAGTGTACCTGGACGTCCCCACAGCACCCATGCCCGGTGAGGAAGCCTCCATCCTGATCGTGAATGGCATTGGCGGTTTGCGGCGCATCAAGTTTGGAGCAGATTCTCCGCCCCTCTCACATGTGTCCGTGTGTGTATGTGTGTACGTGTGTTTGTACGTATGTGCGTGTCCCGGCGTGGCCCTGCACGTGCTTGCAGAGACACCAAAGGCTGCGCCCGAGAAGCGCCACACGAAGAGGAGGGGTGGGTCCAACAACACCACGTCAGCCGCCAGCAAGCGCTCAAGAGCCTCACAAGCTGGTATGCATGCGTGCGTATGTGTGAGTTTGTGTGTGCGTGTCTGTGTTTGTGTCTTTTTTTTGTCCGTGTGCCTGTCTGCCTGCCTGCCTGTCTGTCTGTTGCGCGTGCCTGTCCATGAGTCCTTGCGCACTTTGATGGCGGAGCTTGGATGCGCTCATTGCCTGTACTCACTCAAAGATGTGTGTGTGTGTGTGCGTACGTGTGCGTGTGCTGTGTGATCAGGGAACATGCAGCTTGGCGACGAGTATGCGGGCTTCTACACGCGTCGCGGTGACTATGCCACTGTCAGTGCTGCGCCCAACAGCTCTTGTGCTCGTGCTTGTATGTGCGTGTGTGCCCGTGCTTGTATGTGCGTGTGTGTTGACGTGTGCGTTGACATGTGCGTGTTTGAGTTGTATCCTGTTGCTGCAGCGTTGATCTCATACAATATCATCTGCACACAACCTGTTTCCACACCCAATGCACGCACATACACACACGTGCACGCGCGTGTGTGTAGGAGGAAGCGGTGAACGCAGAGGCGAGTCTGAACGATGTGGTCATGTATGATGACGATGACGACGTTGTGTCTGCCCTGAAGCAAGGCCTCCTCCGCGCCTACCGCACCCGCCTCGCTTCAAGGTAACAGGGCAGGGCCCAAGCCATGATATGTGTGTGTGTGTGCGCGCGCGCTTATGCGTTTGATGTGGTGTTGCGCGCACGTAGATTGATATGATATGCTGTGCGCACATGTGTTCACATCACCCCTCCCCCTCACACAACCACAATCACAACACAAAATGGCACCATTGCCGTGCTCACTGTCAGGCTGCAGCGTCGCAAATTCGCCTCAGAGTTTGGACTGAACGACCCGAAGGCCATCACACGTGCGTGCACACAAACACACACGCACACACATGTTTGCAGACATTCTCGTGGATGTTTTCATTACCATGTGTGTTGCATTTCCCTTCCTCATAACACGTTGTGATGCTGCGTGGCTGTGACCATCATCACAGCGTCCACAACCACAGGACAGCTGAAGGACAGATGTTTGCTTCTGCGCAAGTTTGCCCGCTACCACACGTATGTTGCGACCCACAAGCAACCAAACCATTTGCCACCAATCCCTTGGATGGGGTTGTCCTTGATGTTGGTTCTGCCTGCTGCATTCATACACCATTGTTGTTTGTCTGTGCCCATGCAATCACTCACGCGCACACACTCTCATATGCACACACACACACACTCACTCACCCACTCACTCACTCACTCACACTCTCACTCACCCACCCACTCACTCACTCACTCACTCACTCACTCACTCACTCACTCACGCACACACACATACGTACACACACACATACGTACACACACCCCAGGTCGTGGC